AGTCCGGTTCGGTCCTCCATATCCAGTTGTACGACGTACATTCGGGGTCACTAAATGGCCACCCATACCAAAAGGCAAACAATAATGCCCCTGACTCACGAAATGACACAGAAGAGATTCACATTAGGATTGTAGACAGTCAAGTGCAAGAAGATGGCCCGCGTGCCGCGATCCACCCAAAGACCCTCAAATAACTCCTCCAGGACTTTTCTTGCTTCCGTCTCGTTGCGCGGAAGGTCCACGTAGTAGCCACCACCACCGTACACGGCCACCTTTCCCCAATGGTAGCCAGCCGAGAGAATATCCGGCGATGAATAGGTCCACCTGAATGGGAGAAGACGCGAAAATACGCGGAAATAAGTCAGGCAACATCAGGCAGCAAACACCTTATACTCCAGCGTAAATCTAAATCACAATGGAGAGTGGAACACACATTCATTGCGCATGTTATTAAATAAACTTATCATACTACTCGTGCTAAATGAGTAGCCATGTTTTATTACTATTTACATCAATAAACTGATACTGATAAGAAAAGAAGTGACAGCATCCTGTGGTGGTGGAGGGCTTTTCTTACGCGGTCGAGTTCTTTGAGCCAAATGCTGTCTTGTCCTCAGTGCCCGCAGTGTAGGTGCTGTAACACTTGTTGATTTGCGATTGAAAATCCTTGGGGATTGTGCAGGAATTTGAGGACATTCGCACTTGACGCAGTCGCGGTAGACCCAGCAGGAGGGCATCATAGGCGATGAAGTAGACCTGCTCCTCATTCTGAAGGGCGTCGTTGTACCACTTGTCCAGGTAGATATTTTCAAAGAGTGGCCCTCTGAGCACCTTAACCGAAAAAGGAGCCGGATATATTGCTTTAGGAAAGGTGGCAGGTTCAGCGAACGCGAAATGGTACCACCACAAGGAAGACCACAGATATAGGCGACTACGATTGGAGCTCATACGAAAAAATTAAAATGTCAGCTCTAGTGCATACGGTAACTTATGTGCACCCGGCAATAAAATTTACATTAGAAGAACAACAGTCCAGATGGTTTCCATTTTACGACGCCCTTTTTGGTAAAAGGTTTCACAGGAATACTCAACAAGGGACCTCCCGTAAGAAGGCATGCTTCAGGTGAAAAAAATATTTTGGCAGTTGCGTACCATTAAGCTTCAAAGTTAATAAGTTACGACGTTTGACAAAAAGTTTGAAAAGGTTTGCTTAACTGATAGCATCGAGGAGAAGCTTAGGCTAATGGAAGGCACTTTTAAACAAAAAGGGTATCCTATGCTAAGAACTCAGTTGAAGGACCGTCAAAGCTCCCTGTGCTTCCAGCAGAGAAGAAGGGTATTTTTATCAGAGTCACATTTAATGGGGACTCAGCAAGCAAACTTCTAAAAGGGCACCTGAGTCATGCTGGATCAACCACCGT